ATTTCGAATAAAAAATTTTGTTAAAACAATTAACTTAACACTTAAAACTCAAAGAGATAATTAATAACGCCAAAGAAACGGGTCTCTTTATTATATATATATATATATAGAGTGATCAATATCTGATAAGGTACTTATTTTCTCAAGAACTTTTAAAAGTTTTTGTAAATAGAAAAAATATTAGGTTCAAAAAAAATTTACAATAATAGCTTTTTCGTTTCTTTAGGGATAAAAAACCTTATTTAACATCTTCGTAAATATAACCTCTATTTTTAACTTAATAATTTGATAAAACAAAAAATTATAAACAACTTTGTCCCTACCATTTTTTTTTGCGTATAGTCTTAAGTATACAAATAATAGTAAAAACACTTGGGTAGAAACACTTATGTAAAGAAATTGAATTAATATAATTCGATAGGAGTGCGCACAAAGACCTCCAGGTCTGTATGCATTGGCAGTTCCTGTTCACCTCTTTAACAATTAAAACTAATTAAACCAATAAATTTACAGTCTAGAAGTGATTCACACTATACGGAACGTCGACATCACGTTTCAGATCGGCAGTGTCACGACAAAATATCTAATCATGTATTTATATCGTATTGTTCACATACACCGGCCACGTTACGTAACGTCAACATCACATAACTACTTAATTAAACATTTTGGCGTGACGTTGACGTTCTGTATAACGTGAATCGACTTTTAGTACAAAACTAGCGTAAAATTAGTAGATTGAACATTTTAATTTAATCTAGTCTATTGTAACCTTATACTTACCAAGTGAACTTATATTTATCAATAATGTTCTATAATGTAATATAAAAATGATTATGGACATTTTTTTTTAATCCTCTTGTAAAAATTTTACGTTAGTTATTTTAAACGCTAAATAAATTGGTGTTAACACATTTAGCCATTGCAACATTGTCGTAACAATAACACAGAATCATTACCATACAGTGGAAATTTGGATAGCCAAAGTTTGGAGGGGAATCTGTTACAGTTCTGCCGAACAATGGTAACATTTAGTATAGCAAATATCAAGCAAGTATTTGGTAATATTTCGCTTATCTTTAGTGTTTGTATAAGAAAATATCGTTTATTTGATAATCGAGTTATTTGTTTAGATAAAAATAAAACGTTTTTAATTAAGTAAATATCTTCTATATTATTGTCATGATAAACCATAAAATGTATCGTAGTCAAATTATAACTAGTTATAATTAAGAACTATATGAAGATTTATACTAGGTACATTAAAAACAAGATTTGGCAGGTCAGTTTTTTAACTCAAAAACAAAAACTATTGTCATTATTAATATTAAAATGATATTGTATTTATTCGAAAAGTTTTTAAAACAATGTCAAATGATCATAATAATAATATGAAATAAATAATTCTATGACTTATACTTGTGAGGAAATTAGTGAAATAGTTTTTGCATAGTTTTGCTTATAAATTATAAATATTTTACCTTTCATTTTTTAGAAAAGCCAAAACAACGTAAAATTTCAATGGTGTTTTATAGAAATTATTATTTTTGAGATCATAAACAAAACTTTGTAAAATTGAAACATAGTTTTTTTCGTACAATGTAAATTGCATCCTCCTTTCTACAAATAAACAAATTAAAAATCTAACTTTGTGTCATATGTTTTCGAATATAAGTGATGATAATTTTGAAGAAAATTGTTTTAGCATTGTTGAGTACTATTTATTTTTCTATTTATAAGTTGTTAATAATTTTGTAGGTCTATACTTTATCCCTTATAAGCAAAGACATCCTGAGGGGGGCAGTAGATGTCATTACATTACCTGAAATTTTTCAGATCACTACGAAAAATATATAATCCTTACTCCAAAATCTTTTAATTTGAATTTAAATTTAAGTCGATTTAGAATAGATTTTATTTGAATTTTTAGAATTTTGTTACTTAGTAACTTTATTAGATAACAAGATTTTAAAAACCAAAAGTGTTATTGGGTGGAACAGGTTGGCTTGTACGATCTATGGATAGTTGCCTTAATAATATTAATTATAAAATTATTATTGTTCTAATAAGGGAGGTATTATATAACAGGTAAATAATTGATATTAGACCGTAATAAGTAGGAGCACATATAAAACATTAAGGGCAAAGAAAGGGATAAACCATATTTTTTTGAAAATAATAAAATGTAAGATATTAAGATTTTCTAAATAAAAGGAAATATATTATGTTAGACAATCATTTTATATAATTTTCAATAGAATATAAACTTAGAAGTAGTCCTGTAGTACCTATTTGAATAAGTGACGGTTGTATAAGAATATCTGCTAATTACAAATTAACATTTAACAAGTTTGTACAAGATGTAAAATACTCTCTACCTAGGATTGAGGACATATTTCATAAAGTAAGTAAGGATGAAGAATTTAGTAAAATAGATCTATGGGAAACATATAATATATTAGAAGTAGATGAGGAGTATTTAAAATTATTGACATAAAGTACATATAAGGGTATGTTTAATAGGCTCTGATTCCCTCATTGTATAGTACCAGTTAGTGTTATTTTTCAAAAATTAATTGAACAATTATTAAAAATTGTTAAAAAAAATATAAGGAAAAATATTATTTAGTTAAAGGAAATTTTTAATAATTGTTATTGTTCAATATGTATGAATTTAAAAAGAGAGATGTAATGTTTATATCACATTACCCCATACTTATATTTGAAGTAATAGTGCGATTCGTATAAAGATATGCATTATAGCGGTTAGTTTTAGTTAGAACGGCATTATCTAGTGTACTTTAAATACGAATTATATTGTTATTCAGTAAATCGTATTACTTAAACATATTTATTTATCATAAACCAAGTAAATTACAATGATAAAAAAAAAATAAATTAATTAATAAATTTTCATTTAACTTTTTATTTTGTTATAGAAAAAAAATTCACATAATTGAATTTATCTTAAGTATATACTTTTAATGATGACCAGTAAAACTCAATGGATTTTAAGTACTATTTATGTTTTACTTGCTGCGAATACAATGTCAAAAGCAGCAAATATTCTAGTATTTGCACCAATGCCCTTCAAAAGTCATTTTGGAGGATTTCAACCACTTTTTCAAGAACTGACTCACCGAGGACATAATGTTACCGTAGTTAGTGCATTTCCATTGAAAAAACACCTTGAAAACTATACTGATATCGTTGTAGGCATCGACAAAACGTTTGCACAGGGTAACTATATAACTTTTTATCAAAACATGTATATTATTGTTATTATAGTTTTAATTACTGTTACCATAAGAACAACTAAAATTTTGGATGCATTCATAAATCAAATATTTTAGAAAGATAACATGTAGGAAAGCTAATATTTTATTGACAGGGAAAATTTTTAGTTATTATCAGTCTAGATTAATATACCAACTAGAATATTGCAATAGTTGTTAATTGTAAGCTATCTTATAAATAATTTTTACCAATAGTCTTGTAAAATTTACTAAAACTACTAGAAACATTTAGTTCACAGAAATTTAGTAATAATTGGACATTGGATTTATATGTTTTTTAAAAATGTTGTCAAGTTATTCCAAACACATCATTAGCTAATACAAATTGTTATTAATAGGATTTAACTAGATTTAACTAGAATTATAGCATTGTTGGGGGTCAGAGGGTTTATTCCCCTCTAACGAAAAGTATTTCTGCGCTACGATTTATTTCTATAACACATTGTATACAAACTTTGTTTCTTTTAAAGTGGCTCCAATAAAATTTATAAATGCATATAAATCGGGCCTCTAGTTATAACTAGTAAGTCTAAAGTTATGTCTCTTATTCCTATCTACGTATCAGGATATTCATCTCTATAAATAAATTTTACATAATTTTCAATGAGTATTTATATGTACTTATCAATACAAAATAATTATGTAAACTTAAACAATTACCAGTAGAATACCAATATAAAGTAATCTATTTATTTTTATTTGTTTTTTAGGTTTAGACCCTATAAAAATGGCAAACGAAAATTTTATTGAAATATTATTAAATGTGGGTAATTTACAAAATTCTTTAGCACATGCCACTCTCCCTGTTAATGTTATTCAAAATTTCATTCAGTATGATAATTCTAAATTTGATCTTGTTTTTATATTTTCATTTGGACAAACATATTGTGTTACTCTTGGACACAAATACAACGCACCAGTGATTATGTTGAACGTTGTTATGTTATGGCAAGTCAATAGCAAATGGATTGGCGAACCTTACACTTACTCTTATATTCCTGACCCTAGAATTAGGACAACTGACAAAATGTCGTTCATGGATAAGTTAAAAAACACATTAGTCGGAATTATACAACTCTTTTTTACTGACTATTACAATCTTTCTGAGCATAAAAAAATTATGAATGCATACTTCAGATACTCGGGTTGGGAACAAAGACCTTCATTGGAAGATATGTTACATAATATTTCATTGACTTTAATAAATGCTCATTACACAGTTGGCCTAACGAGGCCTTATCTACCCGGAACAGTTGAAATTGGAGGACTTCATGTAAAGGAGCCTAAAAAGTTATCTAGTGTAAGTATGAAACAAATTAAATAGAATACCAATAAATATATGGTAAAGTGGGATAAGTTGACAAATGTAGAATGATAATGAATTCAGTGTTTCTCAAAGTAAATCACAAATAGCAACACATCCTTACTAGAAGGGGTCTATATTTTTTTGGACATGGATATCGTTTCGATATTTATTCACAATATCGAAAATAATCCGACGTCGCAATAAATCGATGATCAACAATAATTGTTATTGTAATTATTACATAAAATCAATTGTAGTACTGCATTATAGTGATAGACATAATCGAACAATTTCTATAATTCGATAATTGAAAAATTAAATTTCATCAATTACACTATATCAATAAAAGTAATCCATAATTTAGGTTTTTAATAATATGAAATAATCAATATAAATCATGATAGAACGACAGTAATTGGTAGTTTTTACCATTTTCTTATATTATTATCTTACTATATGATAAAAAATTGAAAAATTAGACAATGCTTAAAAAATTACTTAACGATGTCTGATTTTCAAAAATTGGTGAATGTTCAATTAAAGATATGATTGCGCATGTAAATTTTGTTTAAATTTTATGATAGTCTACGTAGTGTTCACTAACATCAAGGCTTTTAAAGGCTGTTTTTAACGATTATTAAGTTTCCTTTCGCCTACCTATTGTTTTGAGTAATAATTAGTAGGTTATTATGAAATATAATTGTGAATACACCTAAGTATTTTGTAGTTGTATAATTAAGAATTTAATTTACGGGTGGGATTATTTTTCTGGTAAACTGCTTTTGGAGTTTTACTTTTTTTTACACATATTAAAATTTTAGAGTACTCCTATCAGTTCTTGGTGTAATGCAAGACATACAAAGTTTCCATACAAATTTCAGTTTTTAAATTTACTCACAGATATCAAGAAAAGTCATAAAAGCTAAACTACGTCATCTACCCCACTTTACTTTACGTATTCCTGTGTGCAATAAATAAGGCAGTAATTCACTGTTGCCGATTTCTTAAAAGATTAAAAATATAATTTTACACTTCTATTAAACTTTATGCTTGTATTAATTTTCTTGTTAGTTTAATTCAAATGTTTATATTCTATTGATAATTATTAAAATAATATTGAAATCTCAATTCAAATACTTCATCATCACAAAATTGATTTTTAAATAAATGCCTTATTCGTTTTGCATAATGATATATAAACACTATGTTCAAAAGATAAATAGTAAATTACAGTTTTTAATACTTCTACATAGAAAACATGTCTAATCTTCACAGTAAACCTATGTTAACCAACCTTATTGTTAAACAAAAAAACATAAAAATAATCTTGAAATTGCTAAAAAAATTGAACTTTTAGACAAATTCTAGTGTTAATTTTTATACATAAATAGAATAAATAAGCAGAAGATAAAAAAAAAAGTATCTTTATGTATCAATATTAATATTTACATATTGTCATAGAAATTTTTAGATTTTATCGAGTCTGCAGAACATGGGGTGATATACTTTAGTTTAGGTACAGTAGCAAATCCTGCAATGCTCCCCAAGGCTAAATTACAAATATTTATTAGCGTATTTAATAAGTTAAAACAAAAAATAATGTGGAAGTGGAGTCAAGGAAAAACACCTCAAGTGTCGGATAATGTTATGATAAGTGATTGGTTTCCACAACCAGATATCCTAGGTAAGTAATGTAAATCAAAATTCAAATGAGCATGTCAAGAATCCTTAAATTAGTCATAAAAACTGTCTAGAACTATTTGCTAATAGATGTTGAGCGAAGAACATTGATTCATTATATCTATACCATTTTAAAGGTCACTCAAATGTAAAACTGTTTATTACCCATGGTGGTCTACATAGTCTTGAAGAAGCATCATATAATGCCAAACCTCTCATTGGTATACCATTTTTTGGCGATCAACATATGAACATGCGAATTGTAGAAGAAAAAGGGTTTGGAAGGATGATTGACATTTTTACAATGAATGAGGAATCTCTATTGTCTACAATAAAAGATGTACTTGAAAATCCAATGTATGTACTGAATGTTTAAAAATATAAGTAAATTATTCTTACTTTTATATTTGATTATGTAGATACAGAGAAAAGTCAATGCATCAGAGTCTAGTTTATAAGGATCATTTATAACACTAAAAAAAATAGTAAATTTAATAATATTGTAACTAACTTCTTTTGCAGGTACAATGAAAATTCCATTCGACAAAGTCTTTTATATAGAGACCGAGACATGAAACCAATAGACCGAGCAGTATATTGGGTAGAATACGTGTTGCGTCATAAAGGCGCAAAGCATTTAATAAGCCAGAGCACTCGTTTGAATATATTTCAATACTTCCTCATAGATGTATTTATTGTTTTTGGTTTTTTTATAACGATCGTGATATTCTTAGTTTTAAAGATTTTAAATTGTCTTTTCAAATATAACAAATCAAAACTTAAAACGGCATGATCTTTTTTTATGTTGTTATTATGATAAATGTCATTTGAAAAGTCTTAGTATAGGGTTGAATTTATTTGAATATTTTTTAATTGATGTTACTATAGTTTTTTGTATTTGCATGGTAACTATTGCATTTTTTGTTTTCGAATTATTGAATTTTTTTTTTAAATTTAAATGTAAAGTTAAATCTACATAATTTTTTTTAAGTATTAAACATTATGTTCTTAATAGTAAGAAAGGTATTTATTATTTTACTACAATATATTGTTTTCACAAAAAAAAAAAAAAAGTATGTAACTGTAACTAGATAAACTTTGACCAAAAGTAGAATATGGGAAATATTGTCATAAGATAATACCAATGTATTATCATACGAAGAATATTATTCTGAAAAAATAATATCTTAACAAAATAAAGAAATTTTTAAATCCATTCTCCTCGGGAGCGTTTTTTCCCAGCAATTTTCTCATAAAAACATATGAAAATATTAATAAATTCTCAAATAATATTATTCAATTAAATTATGATTATTTATCATAATATCTTTTACATTAATTTCACTTCTATATTATTATTTTGGAATTTGATTAAATGAATTTAATGGAGTATTTAGAGAGAACACAATGACATGTACCCCTATCCTCCATTGTTAATATTATATTAATATAAAAAAGTCACGATTTTTTTTTTATAATAGCTTGCCAGTTAACAATTTTTTTGTGTCCCTTCACTCTTACAATGAATTTCTAAATAATCCTTTCAGTTCAATTTTTTTATTGCATCAAAAATAAAAACTGTAGTCAGTTCGTGTTCAACGTCTGACTGTGATACACGTGTGTTTCTACATTATCGCATTTATAGCTATCGATAGCAGTAATACACAAGTCTGTTCAAAGTTCAGCGTTGCAGGTAATATGATTAAAATTATTGCCTTATTTACACCAATTAAATAAATATCAAACCTAACGATGGGCGATAAGCCTGTAGTGTTTTGGTGTTTATATTTATTACAAAATACTACAATTAAAATTTATAATAATTAATACTTTTTAATAATGAAAAATAATTTTATACGTACATAAAAAAAGAGTACAAATAAAAAGTGTCACTGGATTGACGAACAGCGCGAGAATAAAAAAAATACACGGAGTGTTATCGTACTGCAGTACATCTAAGATAAAACATATAAACATATATAAACGCATTCATTGTGACATGTTATTTAACATCTTTGTTAATCCCTACATTACCCCCTTTCCAGTGAAAACGATAATTTTACGTTAAACATACATAGTTACAAATATCAAATATAAAAATACAAATACAAATATAAAAGTGATACAATTCACAATTTACAAAAACCTTACGGGGAGGCGGATGGTTCTTCCTGACTTGGTTTGTTTTGTTTGTATTATTGTTGGTCTTGTAGTTGTATTTCTCTGGTTTTGCTGGTTCGTTGTTATTGATAGATTTGTGTTATTATCTTCATTTTCGTTGAAACATGGCTTCAGTCTGTCTATTGATATGATACATTCTTTTTGCCTAATTAATAATTTAAAGGTTTTTTCGTATCGTTGAACAATTTTGTACGGCCCTTCATATGGTTGTTCTAGCGGTTTCTTGACCCGGTCGACCCGAACGAAAACGTGTGAACAGGATGCTAGATCTTTATATATAAAAACTTTTTTACTTCCGTGGTTTGAAGTTGACACTGGGCGTATGGTTTCCATTGTTTTCTTTAGTGTTTCAGCAAAGGAACAAGGGTCTGTCGCCACTGATGACTGCATAAAAAACTCATTAGGTAATCTAATCGTACTTCCAAATACAATTTCTGCAGGTGTTAAACCTAGATCTTCTTTAATCACTGATCTAAGGCCCATAAGAACTGAGGGGAGTACATCTGTCCAGTGCTCAGTTTCGTAACACTTTATTGCCGTTTTAAGTGATCGGTGGAATCGTTCAACTAAACCATTGGCTGGTGGATGATATGCTGATGTACGTATTCTTCTAAACCCTAAAATTTGCGTTACTGCGGTGAACAGAGTAGACTCAAATTGCCGTCCTTGATCTGTTGTCAATCTCTCCATAACTCCATATCGAGCTATCCAGCCTTCAAATAACGTACGAGCTATGGTTTCAGCCGAAATATCCTGAATTGGAAAAACTTCTGGCCATCTAGAAAATCTGTCTATAGCGGTTAAACAGTAAGTACAACCACGTGACATGACCATAGGACCGATTATATCGATGTGTACATGTGAAAAACGATCACTCGGCACATTAAAAATACCACACGGACTTATAACATGTCGCGTTATTTTTGACTTTTGACACGCTAAACACGCACGAGTCCATTTCGCACAATCACTGTTCATCGACGGCCACACGAAACGACTACTCACTAATTTTATTGTTGACCGTATACCTGGGTGAGCGAGATTATGTAGACAATTGAACACATTGCGGCGAAATTGTTTGGTAAGATACGGTCGTTGTCTACCATTAGAAGTATCGCAGTAAATATTTGTGTTCGTAGTGGGCATATTTACGAGCTCTAGTTTTATCGATAATTCCGGTTTTGACAATAACGACAATAGTTCTGCGTCTGCTAACTGGTCGTAAGCTAACTTGTCATAATCTAGCGGTGGCGGTGCATTTATAGTTTCTATTCTCGATAACGCATCGGCCACTGTATTCTGTGTACCTGTTACGTGCCGTATTGATGTTGTAAACTGACTAATAAAATCAAGTTGTCGTGCACGTCGAGGTGGTAATTTATCTGAGTGTTGTGTGAATGCGTATACTAACGGCTTATGGTCCGTAATTATTTCAAATTCACGGGCTTCCAGCATATAGCGAAAATGCTTAATGGCTTCATATACCGCAAGAAGTTCACGATCGTATGCACAGTATTTTTTTTGTGTTTGGTCAAGTTTGCGAGAGAAAAAAGCAAGTGGTTGCCAAACGCCGTTTTTAAATTGTTCTATTACTGCGCCTATCGCCATATCTGACGCGTCACATCGTAATTGAATATTCGCGGCCGGATCTAGATACGATAATGTTGTGGCTCGCTTTAAGTCTTCTTTAGTTTTCTCGAACGCTCCCGTTGATTGATCGGTCCATACAATTGGTGTTTTGTCGTTTTTTTTGCTGTTTTTAAGATAATCGTGAAGAATAGCTTGTGTACTTGCTGCGTTTGGGATACAACGGCGGTAAAAATTGCACATAGCCAAAAAACGTCGAAGCTCTTGTACATTATTCGGCCGTGGATATTTGTCTATCGCTTCCAGTTTTTCAGGATTTGGTCTAAGACCGTTACCCGATATGATGTATCCTAAAAATAGTACCTCTTCTTTTCCAAATATACATTTATTCGTATTTATCACAATGCCGTACTCACTGAGTCGTTGTAATACACGTTCGAGGTGACTCAAATGCTCTTGTGTTGAAGACGATGCAATTAAAATATCGTCCAAATACACTTCACAAAAATCTAAGTCTTTTAAAACACCGTGTATGAAACGCTGAAATGTTTGAGCTGCATTTTTAAAACCGTATCCCATCCGAACAAACTCAAATAACCCAAAAGGTGTTGTAATAGCTGTTTTTGGAATATCGGACGGTTCTATTGGTATATGGTTAAAAGCTTTAACCAAATCGATTTTTGAAAAAATACTTTTATTTTGCAATCGCTGTGTGATGTCTTGAATGTGTGGAATGGGGTATCTGTCCGGTAATGTGACTGCGTTTAACCTACGGTAGTCGCCGCACGGTCTCCATTCACCGTTCTTCTTTTTTACTAGTTGTAATGGGCTGGCCCACGGACTATTTGAAGGTCGGCATATGCCCTGTTCTACTAAATAAGCAAATTCTTTTTTTGCGATCTCTAGTCGATCCGGAGGAAGGCGTCTTGGTTTAGCGAAGAGTGGTGGTCCTTTAGTGATGATATGATGTGTAACGTTATGTTTACAATCCATTGGGATCATGTTTGTTCTTAATACTTGCGGAAATTTTTTTAGTAACTTAATGTACGCTGAATCGTCTTTAAAAGCGAAGATGCCCGAGGATATCGTCTTTTTAACTTTTCCGGCGGTGGCTAAATTGGTATTTTCATCAATTAGGCGTTTACTTCTTAAGTCCACTAATAAGCCGAAGTAGTGGAGAAAGTCAGCACCTATAATTGGTTTACTGACTGCTGCGACAATAAATTTCCATTTAAAAACACGTCTTAAACCTAAATTTACAGCAATTAATTTGTCACCGTATGTTTTTATTATTGACCCGTTGGCTGCGAATAAAGTAGGGTTACCATCTTTTATTTTATTGCGTTTCTGCTTAGGATCTGCTGGCCAAACCGAAAAGTCCGCACCAGTATCAATTAAGTATTGAGTTTTTGTTATTTTATCAACAATAAATAGACGACGAGATTGAAACTCACTACCGTCGGTCGTCTCGACAGTAGATCGTTTATAGTTTTCCGACGTGTGCTGGTATTTACACGGTGGTTTGCATTTAGTAGCCTTATCTTTGAATCGGTAATGATAATAACATGTATCATATCGTGGTCGTGAATTGTCTCGGCGCATAGGTGATTTTGAGTGACGCCTATTGTAGCTACGAGAGTTGCTGTTGCTAAGTCGCTCTACTGCTTGTGCGAGTGCTGCGATCTGGTGTTCCAATTTTCTTATTGTCGTTGCATCGTCAGCTTGTTCATGTGACTGACGGTTTGTGACCTTGTCACTAATGTTGGCAATGGAAAAACAATCATTTCGGCTGTCCGATACTTCGATAATTTTATCTGCCATCGAAGCTAAGTTATCCAACTTGTCGTTGCTAGCTGAAATGATAGTTTTTACCTGATGTGGTAACCTTTGTATCCATAGTATTTTGAGTATTTCATCAGTTACTTTTCCATTAGCTAGTTGACGCATTTCTGAAAGAAAATGGGATGGTTTCCGATCACCGAGTTCGACTTCGGTCAGTAATTTTTTAAGCCGACATTGTTCAGATTCGGAAAATCTTTCGATGAGCCGGGTTTTTAATGCTTCGTACATTTTCGTTTCTGGTGGATTGAGTATTATGTCACTAACTTGAGCAAGAATTTCACTTTCCATAGAAGAAACAACATGATGAAATTTACTTGCGTCAGCTGTAATTCTGGTTGTATAAAAAACGGATTCAATTTGTTTGAACCAAAGTTCTGGGTTGGTACGCCAGAAAGT